AAAATTTCACAAACTGACTACCTACTATGCCATGACCGTGTTGCTAAGATCATTCACTGGAAAATGTGCCAGAAGTTCGGAACACACTTGACATAACAGGAGTTGAAAAGAAAAAAAAATTGGGTCATTGACATTGCAATACCTGGTGATGCGCGAATTGAAGATAAGCAGGGGAAAAAAATCACAAAGTACCGGGACTCGCAAATTGAAGTTGAGCAACTGTGGAAAAAGAAATAGTGTGTTGTTCCAATTGTAATTGGAGCCCTTGGAGCAATACCTAAAGGGCTACCTCGCTATTTGGAAATTCTAAATTTATCAGATTTGAAAATTCTGATTCTACAAAAAACCACCCTACTTGGAACAACTTATATCCTCCGACATTACCTTAACAGTTCTTAGGTCCTTGGTTAGGACTCAAGCTGTTGAGCTACCAACCAGCCCCAAAGGCTGTGAATCTCACCAAAGATTTACCACATAATAATAATAATATAATACTTGGAACAACTTATATCCTCCGACGTTACCTTAACAGTTCCTAGGTCCACCAAAGATTAACCATAAAAATAATAATAATAAAATGGGAATGAAGTCATGGCTTTGAGCAATGCCTATTAGCATTCATTATGACTAAAATCAATTTATTGTTTTGAACTTTGCTTTAATTACATTTTCCTTTTTACATCCTCTTTGTGCCATCTTTGCTCTTTCCTAAAAGAACAGGATATAAATATTAAAGTCAAATAAAGGGTCAAATAAAGTTATACCACTGTAAGTGAACATTTATTTGAGTGCTTGCTCTAGCCCAATATCCACTTAATTTCACCAGAATATAAGCCATTTCCCCAAAATCATCATCTGCTTTCCATTCACTTTTTGTCTCCACCCGTTCTTCTCTCTGTCCTTTCTTCTTCACTTTCTGCTTCCACTTCCACACACTGGTATTGTGCAGTACAAGACAAGGAGCAATTATTCCCTGCCCCTGTGCTTGGGAAAAGACACTCTGTGCAGAGAAAATAAAAGATAAAATCAGAGTTTAAAAAGGCCACTTAGATCATCAAATCCAAATCCCTACTCAGTGCAGGAAGTCCAAGCCATTCACTGAAGGGAATCTCTCCGGTTCTTAAGGTAATTGAGGCTTCATTGTCAAACTGTTTTAATCAATAAATGTTTTTTTAAGGTTTGGTTTTAACATAAACCTGTTTTCATTCAATGATGGAGAACAGATCAGAGTTTGTTCCTGTTTTCTCCAAGCACAGTGTGCCTTCTGTTTTATAGGAGGATGGTGAAAGGAAGCAGTTATTTTCTTTTCAGTGCAGAAATGAAAAGAGGGAGTGGAATCAGGCTTAATTGGAGAGCAGAAGAAGAGAACAAGTCCTCCTTCGTTTTACATGGAGGAAAGACTAGGAGAGGGGGTACAATTCCATCCTACTGTTACCAAGTCATATACTGTAATTGGGAAAGAGAGTTTGGCTCATAAGCAAGCTTCACTTCCGGTTCCTGCTGTCTTTACAACATCCTATTTACTTCAACAGGTTGACCCAGAAGTCTGAGCTAAAAACTAGATATTAGTTTTTGTGTGTGTGTTTTCTAGCCAAAAAAGCAGAAAAGGCTAGAAAACATATGCACAAAAACTAATATCTAGTTTTTAGCTCAGACTTCTGGGTCAACCTTTCTATTCTTATTGTATCCCTTCTGCTTTTTAATGATCGTACTTCACACTTCTTAGGCTCATCCCCTCCTTATGCTGGTTTATGACTGCAATAAATATTTGATTTGACTTGATCTAATACTTTCACAGGGGATCAGTTTTGGATGCTTTTCCACTGTGCAACCCGTGAGCAAAAAATTATGTATGAATCATGATTTTATAATAAACCACTTGACCCTGAGAAAGATCTGTGACTTAATGATATACTTTGGTAGCACAATCCATATAGATAGTGTTGAAATTCATACTAATTGTTGAATTCCCTGCATTTTATTTAAGATAAGCTCTTTGTGTCCACTGTGGATTACATTACATAGATGTGTATAAGTTTGTATTACAGATGGTCCTCTATTAAGTGAATTTTGCCTCATTTTATGCCCTTTCTTGGGACAGTTGTTAAGGGAATCACTGCGGTTGTTAAGTCTGTAACAGGGTTGTTAAGTGAATCTGGCTTTCCAATTGACTTGGCTTGTCAGAAGATTGCACATGGTCACCACATGACCCTGGGACACTTCAAGTCTCATAAACAGTTGCCAAGCATCCAAATTTTGATCACATGACCACGGGGATGCTGCAGTGGCCGTTAACTGTGAAAAAGTGTCATAAGTCATTTTTTTAGTTCCATTGTAAGTTCTGACGGTTACAAAACAAATGATTGTAAGTCGAGGACCACCTGTACATACTGCCATGAACTATAGCCTTCCAAGGTCTCTAGCCTTGGAATATAAAATTATTTGCATTGCTTTTGAACTGAGTCTGAAAACACGCCATCTTCTTTAATCTCACAGGCCCACGGGACAGCAGCAAAATGGGAATCCTCTACATCCTGGTTCCAAGCATAGCCATCCCTTTAGTTATTGCCTGCCTTTTCTTCTTGGTCTGCATGTGCAGAAACAAGCAGAAGGCATCTGCCACCACTCCACAGCGTCGTCAGCTGATGGCCTCTCCCAGCCAAGATATGGAAATGCCTCTCATTAATCAGCACAAACAGGTACTTTGCCCAAATGTATGCATAAGCACACACAGGTTATTTTGTGTCATAAACATAACATTTAGTATTAGTTATTCTAGAGTCCTCTGCTTTGACATTTTAATTTGGATTTTCTTCACCACATCAAACCTTCCGATATGTTCTTTCAGCATGTATTCATTTCTCAGTTGTTTGATCCCATTATTCTTTTTTACTTTCAGAATAAACTAAAAGAAATCAGCCTTTCGACTGTGAGATTCATGGAGGAGCTGGGTGAAGAGAAGTTTGGAAAAGTTTATAAGGGTCACCTATTTGGCACAGCGCCAGGGGAGCAAACACAAACCGTTGCCATCAAAACACTCAAGGATAAAGCAGATTTAACTCTCCGAGAAGAATTTAAGCATGAAGCAATGATGAGGTCAAGATTACAGCATCCCAATATAGTTTGTTTACTGGGAATAGTGACCAAAGAACAGCCCATCAGCATGATTTTTAGTTATTGTGCTCATAGTGACCTCCATGAGTTCCTTGTGATGAGATCTCCCCACTCTGATATTGGTAGCACTGATGATGATAAAACAGTGAAATCAACATTGGAGCCAGCTGATTTTTTCCACATTGTAACTCAGATAGCATCAGGAATGGAATATCTCTCAAGCCACCATGTGGTCCACAAAGATTTGGCCACCAGAAACGTGCTTGTGTTTGATAAACTCAGTGTGAAAATATCTGACTTAGGTCTTTTCAGGGAAGTTTATTCTGCTGATTATTATAAACTGATGGGAAATAATCCTCTTCCTATTCGATGGATGTCCCCTGAAGCAATCATGTATGGCAAATTTTCAGTTGATTCGGACATCTGGTCTTATGGCGTAGTGCTGTGGGAGATTTTCAGCTATGGCTTGCAACCTTACTGTGGCTATTCCAATCAAGATGTCATTGAGATGATTAGAAACAGGCAAGTTTTGCCATGTCCCGATGACTGTCCTGCATGGATGTACTCGCTGATGCTAGAATGTTGGAATGAATTTCCCAATAGAAGACCAAGATTCAAAGATATCCACAACAGATTGAGAACATGGGGAAACCTGTCGAATTACAACAGTTCTGCACCAACCTCTGGGGCAAGCAATACTACACAAACCAGTTCACTCAGTACAAGCCCTGTTAGTAATGTCAGCAACACCAGGTATGTTGGGCCAAAGCAGAAAACCCAAGCGTTCTCTCAGCCACAGTTCATACCAATGAAAGGACAAATAAGACCAATGGTGCCCCCTCCTCAACTTTACATTCCTGTCAATGGTTACCAACCAATGCCAGCTTATGGAGCATATTTGCCAAATTTCTATCCTGTCCAAATCCCAATGCAGATGGCTCCTCAACAGATGGCTCCTCAGATGATTCCAAAACCAGCTTCCCATCATAGTGGGAGTGGTTCCACTAGTACAGGATATGTAACAACTGCTCCCTCCAATGCTTCCATGGCTGACCGGGCTGCTCTCCTGACTGAAGGAGTAGAAGAGATACATAATGGGACAGAAGACATTGCTCAGAATCTGGTCCAGGAAGAGGAGGAAGAAGAAGGCTCTGTGCCCGAAACAGAATTATTGGGTGATAATGACACTCTTCAGATGGACGATGCCGAATTTCAGTCAGAACCCTAAGGATGTTGCCTTATCACGACGACAATACTGGACTTCTTTTTAGTTTGCTGAAGACTGTAGTTCTTTTGATTTATACAATCAGTGTTTTACTTCAGACTCCTGTCTACAACTGCTAACTCCAAATCTACATAAAGGCAGCAGTATTGAATACGCCGTTTTAATGGATTATTTTTCCAGAAGAAATTTGCAAACATGATGTAGAATAGTTATTTTAAAATCTAGGGTTGATTACAGCTCTTGCAGGGAGTCTGCTTTTATAAAATTCTGTTGCTGTGCAACATATAGTAGAAATGCATTGCACCTCGTGTATATCTTGAACTCTGATTGTATTGTTAATGAATGCTGGTTAAATTGATAACTGAGCAAAGTAGCTGACATGGAATTGAGCTGCATGCCAAGAGATGGCCAAAAGGTTTCTTTTTTAAAATAAATAACAGGTTTATCTTGCTGATGCATTAAACTTTCAGTGGAATTATTCAGAATTGGGTAAAGTGCAGGGAAAAGCAGAATGACAAGCAGTTTTTCTCAGTGACCAATCCTTTCATAAAGAAACCTGATAATTATTTTTATAATTAAATGGAAGTTGGACCTGATTTAGCAGGAAGTATATTTTGCTTCCCAAAGAAATGACAGACATAAGCTATGTTGGACATCAGGAGCTTCCCAGGGTTGATTATAAAATGGATGGCTATATAAATGTTTTAAATAAATAAATAAATGTTATGACTTAAGCCAAACCCTTTTGCCCGTTCAAAGTAAAATTTAGTAAGAGATCACCACATTTGGTTGAGCTCCCTGGTCAGCACAGCTTTCACTTAATTTTCTCTTAAGATGGTGCTAGAGAGCAGAGTGATCAGCCATGATTGCCAATTTATTTTATGTTAGGTACTAGACATATGCACATACCTTCTTCATTTTTGTTAAAAATAGTGATTGTAGATTCTTAACCAAAATAAGTGACTTTGTACAGAATGTATTTTTTTGTGATTGATGCCTTCTTGTGAGATGAATCATGTACAGATTTTGAAATGTAATTTATGTTTTCGTACATTTTATGTTTTTTTTCTAATTGCAATATTTTGGTATTTTAAATGCTTATATAATTATGATTAATAGTATTTTATTGGGATTGGAATTTTGTACACTTCGGTATGCTGATAAAACTGGTCCATACATTTCACAGAAATGTTTGTAGGATGAGTGCTCCCTCAGTTTTGTAGCCAAATATAAATTAATGTATTGGGCTGTACATTAAGTCCATGATCTAACCAAGCAAGCCATCAGTGGTAATTAATATTAATGTGTTGGGGTAAAAATAGAAAAAAGGAAAAATGGAAATTCACATTTTTGTTACATTTTACTTATTAAACTGTATTTTTCCTAAGAACATTTGGATTCCCTTGAGGTGTATTATAATAATGTGAAGCCGATGGTAGCAACAAGAGCTGTTTTACTGGTTTGTAATTTGTCTTGAATTGGCCTATGCACTGGTAGTTAAACAATGAAAATCTCTCTCGGTTTTTAACATAAGTGTGAGTTGTAGACTCACTATTAATAAATCATTTAAATAAATTGAAATTTACTTTTTAAATTGTGTTGAAATCTGATATTACAAAATCAGGTGAACTTAGGAGTTCAGTTCTTTTTTAAAAACTTGATTAAACGAATTTGAAACAAGGGATAAGTAAATTAATGTTTTTTCACCTGTCCATATAAATAATCCTATAATGTAAAAATGCGGAGACTGTGCCATCGTATTTTTTTACATATTTTTTATTCTCTGCTCTAAATTTCTATATCTCTAAAATTCCATATCATAATATCACTATCAATGCAATGAAAGGGAAGAAGACAATCAGTGGAAAAGAAGATAGTATAAATAAATTTTTGCTTCCTGGTGCTGTATTTTCTCAAAGTAATCTTGATTTTTTTAAAAAAAATATTATGATCTGGTGCTTGCTGGTATATTGGATTACCATCAAAGGTCATTTGTATTTTTTAAAATTTTTTGACTGAATGTCTATTGAATAAATACTGTTCATTCTCTAAATGAATGGAAACAATATCCATGTTTAAAATATTGTTCAATTTGCCACAAATATATTTTATTTACTGTCTCCATGTGAAAATTTGCCAGAATCAAAACATATATCCTAGAAGATTGTCAGTAGCAAACAGAAACATAAAAACAGCACCAGAATTATGCATTATCATAGTTTTTAAAGCAAGCCATTAATCCATGTTATAAACATTTTTTGTTGAACTGACTATACCTACATATCTAAAGCAAGAAGTGGAAATTGATTGAAGACCTGTTCAATTTCCTACTGTTTCTGAAGGTATAATGGGGGTCCACCTATATGTGTGGCTTGGGTTAAACCTCTGATTCCCATGAGGTGTCCTCTAAACTTTCCTTCCCAATCCTGCTTTTCTTACCCACAATTCCTGTATCAGCCACCAACCACTGCATCTCAGGTAAAGTTTTTCTGGTCATTGTAGTTTTTGGGAAAGTCATAACTTCCTATTCTCCATTACCAGACAGCAGGAAAAGTACAGGCAGTCCTCAGCTTGTAACCGCTGATTTAACAGTTCAGCCTCACTCAGGAAAAGTGACCCATGACCTATCTTCAAAGTTATGACCATCACACCCTTTTCATGGTCTCAGGATTGCAGTTTGGATGCTTGGCAACCAGCCTGCATTTATGACTGTTGCAGCATCTTGCGTTCATGTGATCACGATTTGTGACTTTCTCAGCTGGATTCCAACAAGCAAAGTTGATCAGGGAAGCTGGATTGACTTTATGACTACGTGATCCACTTAACCATGGTGATTTGCTTAATGATCATGGGAAAAATGATCATGAAATTGAATCCAGTCATATGACGATTGCTTTACAATCACACCTACTTAAAATTGAAATTTCAGGCCCAGTTGTGATCATAAGTTGAGAACTACCTGTACATACAAAAGGCTCTACCAATGATGGCTAACCTTTTTGTCCTTGCGTGCCGAAAGCACACGTGCAACAGTGCATTTGTGTGTGCCTACACCCATAATGCAATGTGTATGCAACCCTCCCTGGGCATGCGCACGATCCCTCCAGCATTCCCCATGCATGTGTGCATGACCCCCCCCCGGCACACCATTTTGGCCTGGTAGGCCTCCCTGCAGCATCCTGGGACCAAAAATGGGCCATGGAGGGTGCATACCTGCCCCCATGCATGCATGCATGTCTCCCGCATGCACCCC